CCCCCCCCCCCCCCCCCCCCCCCCCCCCCCCCCCCCCCCCCCCCCAGCCGATTCCTCGAAAACCTCGTCGACGTCTAGTACCTCATCGTCTACCAGTTCTAGCTCGACCAGCGACTCGACTTCTGCGTCTCCATCGACCTCGGCGTCTTCGGTTCGTGCATTCTGTTCACACATGCCCAACATTGGCTGACCGTTTTACAGAGCTCATCGACTGACGCTTCGAGCTCGTCGTCCAGCACTGACTCCAGCAGTTCTTCGACGCAGTCATCGACAAGCGCGTCCGACACCTCCACGTCGTCTTCTGCGACGAATACTGCTGCCACTACACAACCTACCACTGGTGTAGATACCTCCAGCCCCGCCAACACTAGTCCTGCAGCAACTAGCCCCAATACCCAAGGCGCGGCTTCTACCTCTTCCGTCATCGTCTCTGTCACGCCGAGCCCTACAACCACCTCAACGTCTGACGCCTCGAACTCGAGCACCTCCAAGATCACCCGGAACACGCTGATCGTCATTATCGTCGTCGCGTCGAGCGTTGGCATCATCGCCCTCGGATGGACACTCTTCCGCAAGTGGAAGCTCAAGCCCTCGTCGCACTTTGACGACCGCATGCAGCCCATCGACTGGCAGCCCACCACTGACGAGGACACTGGTCTCCCGGCGCACCGCCGCGAGGGCTCAGGCGCCTCCCACGGTTCGTTCCACTCGGGCACCGACGTTGGCAACGGCACCGCCGCGCTCAACCCGATCCCCGACCACGACTTCACCGCCGGCTCCATGGCGCCCGTCGGCGGGTACGCGGACCTGCAGCGTGGCCCGAGTCCGCAGCCGCCGCAGATGGCGTCGCTCGCGCGCGGAGCGAGCGTCGCGCGTCCGAACTACGACACGTACGGCGTGCCGCTGCACTACCAGGGCGGTGCCGGCTACGACGCGTACGACTACACCGGCGGTGGCGGCGCCCCGCGGTACTGAGCGGCGCGCGCCGGCTGCGACGGAACGATCAGCCTTACGCCCTCCATGGCTGCTGCCGGGGCTGTGTATGGATAGGAAATGAAGCCGCTAAGATACCTTACCTGTGTTCATTACCCGGCTTGGTGTCGCGCTAGGCCCGTTCGTCTGACCCTTTGTGCCCGTATACTTCTTCGCCCCCGGGAATACATTCGTTGTATGTCTCCCCGCCGCTGGACGCTTTGCGCTTGTGTTCTCGCTCCGCGCCGCCCGCCGTTGTCGGCGCGCGACGGATATGCCACGACGTGTCTCATGTTTGCTTTCTGCCCGTTCTTTTTCTTCTTGATGAGATGGTCTCCTGGTGACGCCTGCTGCAGCGCGTGGTCTGCGTGTTCTTGCCGGATGTTTATTGATATTACCCATATATGTTTGTTTTAGTGCAATTTGATGCTGTTCTCTGCGGATACGTTGGCACGCTGCGTGTCCAAGCGATCACGAGTGGCACGAGGCAGGGCTACAGAGTTTCAGCGATACAGTACGGCCGATTCGTGGCTTCCGCTACTATTGTTACAGTTGGGTAATGTCCAGGTATGTAGTGATACATCAATCCTCCTCTTCCTCGTCGGATGAGCCTGTCTCCTCAATCACCATAAGTGCGTCGAAACGGCTCGCCACGGTGCCTATATCGGTCTGGTCCCCGACAACTTCGTCCTCGTCGATAACCAGTGACGCGTTGGCATCCTCCCAGTCACTGTCCTCCTGCTCTCCGCTACCGCCGCCGTCGCCGCCGTTGTAGGTATCGTCCACGCCCGCATCCAAGTCAGGCTCCGACAAGTCCTCGCCTCCCCCGTTCTGCGGGATCCAGATGCCGGCGCCCTCGTGGCCCCACTCGTCGAGCTGCTGCGCGCGCACGGCGTGCTCGTCTGCGTCCGGCGGCCAGAACGCCCACCGTATCCTCCCCTCCGCGAGCGCGCGGAGGACTGCACGAGCGCGGCGGCCGACGGAGCACGGAGGTGCAGGCGCAGGTGCAGGTGCGGCAGCGGCAAGCCAGCGGGCACACGAGCACGATCATGAGCAGGAAGGGTGCGAACACGCGCGGTCAGACGGGCAGACACGAGAAGAGCGGAGCGGACACACGTACTCGCGTTCCCCGCACGGTTCACGTCCGGGCGGCCGGCCATCGCGGTGAGCCAGCCCTTCTTGAGCGCGTACGCGGTGAGCACGTCCATCGCGGTCCAGGTGGGCGCGGGGGGAGCGGCAGGCGCGTTCGTCGCCGGGCGCGAGCCGCCGCGC